AACATCGCTAAGCGAGGAACCACTGTATTAAGGGATTAATCCAAAAATGGGAATCCCCTTATCAGCCTGATCAGAGGCAAAGCGGCACAGACCACCAAGCAGCTATTATGTCAGTTTTAAAGAAAAGGTTGAGGAACAATTAAGCAAATTATTAAAACAAAAGCAAAGAGACAACACAGAACAGTAACCATAAATTTTTTTTGAATACAGATTAATGAAAGCATGAAAAAAGGAAAAATCTTATTTTTATACCTCATCTGATTCAAAGTCTACTCCTCTTGCTCCTTGACTCTGTGAGTATTTAGATGCTGGTGTGCTTGATGACCTAAGCAGATAAAAAGATATATTTTACATTCAATAAACCCCTTCATGGATTGCTGCCTTGTCATGGCAAAGGGGCTTGAGTAATTCAGAGAAGCTATGGGCTATGCCGTGGAGGGACACGTCTGACATTAAACATAATTAGTTTCATCACCAAGTGCACTGGCCTCCAATTAATTTCCTATCCCAATTCAAAATGCTGCCTTTTCTCTGTACGACCCTATATAGTTTCAGAGCAAGAAAGCTGAAAAAATTGCTTCCTTCCATATGAACATGTATATGATTTATCATCTTCTTTGGAAGCCCCATTTTATGCTCCGCCAAAAGAATGGGAATATTGTTTCTATTGAAGAACACCGATTGGAAATGACATTTCAGCGACCACCACAATACCACATATAAAATAAATATGAGGTTTTTCTTCAATAACTACTTGTGCACACATGTACGTTGATCCCTGATTCTGACAGATGAAACCTATGCCTAAAGAAGGATCAGACCTGCATCTCAAGAAGTGGACTGCTGAGTCTGGAATAAATCTTTTAATATTATCATAATCCTTTAATTTCTGTTGCTGAAATATACAAATTAAATGAATTCCTCTTTGTCACATGACTACTTTTGAAAACCGGTCAAGCCATCTTAAAAGTGAACCTGTTATATGTTTTGGGCCTGAATTCAAACCCACCCTACACTCAAAAGAGTTTTGAATTTGAGTTTCAGCTTTTTTCATGTTTCACAGCAAACCATTTTTTTAAACTAAGAAGAGTTAGCAATTTGTGGATATAGCATTCTCAGGGAGCTGTGGGGGAAAGAGAGCAATCTGCTTCTTTCTCTCCCTCTCTCATATGCAGCAACTGGAAGCTTCTGTTTCTGGTTTAGTGGCAAATGACAGTTCACGATTAGGCAAGAATTCAGCAAAGCAAGATGGGCACAAATCAGTTTTATGAGCTGGGACAAGGCAATGAACTTTGTTTTTCTACTAAACCTGAAACAGAAGTGATCGCTCACAGCACACAAGGGAAGGGGTTGAAGGAGAGAACAGGCCTTGCCTTGCTCCAAATGTAAAATGATAAATCTTACATCTCAATGCTAACACAGTACACATTTGCTTGAAACTGTCCATCTGGAAAGATTCTTATCTGATACAGTGGTGCCCCGTATAGCGAGGTTAATCCGTTCCGGATTAACCCTCGCTATACGGAATCATCGCTAAACAGGTAGAGGAAACGTATCCAATACCTTGTTTACTTACCCGTTCAGCGAGGATTTCCCTTGCCGGCAGCCATTTTCACGCCCTCGCTAATTTTGGGCCTGAATTCAAACCCACCCTACATTCAAAAGAGTTTTGAATTTGAGTTTCAGCTTTTTTCATGTTTCACAGCAAACCATTTTTTTAAACTAAGAAGAGTTAGCAATTTGTGGATATAGCATTCTCAGGGAGCTGTGGGGGAAAGAGAGCAATCTGCTTCTTTCTCTCCCTCTCTCATATGCAGCAACTGGAAGCTTCTGTTTCTGGTTTAGTGGCAAACGACAGTTCACGATTAGGCAAGAATTCAACAAAGCAAGATGGGCACAAATCAGTTTTATGAGCTGGGACAAGGCAATGAACTTTGTTTTTCTACTAAACCTGAAACAGAAGTGATCGCTCACAGCACACAAGGGAAGGGGTTGAAGGAGTGAACAGGCCTCGCCTTGCTCCAAATGTAAAATGATAAATCTTACATCTCAATGCTAACACAGTACACATTTGCTTGAAACTGTCCATCTGCAAAGATTCTTATCTGATATTTCCTTTTTTTGCGGAAAAGGATGTTTTGTCTCCAAAAATCTAATGACCACAGTATTAAATATACTAACCTTTGATGTGTAGTTGAAGGAGTAAAGGACACTTCTTCCAAATCAGAATCATCATCTTCAATAACCTGAAGAGAGTGGAGGGGGGAATAATATATCATTCATGGAACTACACTTGCATCTTGCCTTTTTCCCAATCTGGGGACCCAGTGGCCAGTATCTTGTTCACGTCGGCATGATGCAAAGTTATGCCAGTGTGAATGTAACTAAAGGATTTGCTCCATGCAATTGCACCATTGGCCACACATCCCCAGAATGATCAATTAATTACACAAAGTGCCAGCAGAAGCGTTTCAGGGATCACACTTCCACCTTGGCTGTTGTACAACTACTGCAGGTACAACACTGCAAGATAAGTGAAGAAAGAATAGGATTCTTCCCAGCTTCCATGCCCTCTCTCTGAGTGCCTACTTGCCATCCATACAAGGGAAGCCTCCTGACCTGGTCGCTGCTGCTCAAAGGTTCAATTTCTGACATCCCCCAGCAGTGTTCATCCCTCTCTCTTTGACCTTGCCCCCAGGAAATGAAAATGCCAACAGGAACTAGCTGGGTGCCAAGGTCAGAAGGTGCTTGTATCCTCTTCCTCCAACAGCCCCCACAGAACTAGCAACACTAATATCAATAAAGTAACTACTGTACTTACCTCAGAATAACTTTTGGTAGGCACATTCCGGGAAGGCTGCTGCCTTGATGATTTAAAAGCTAAGAATAACCCCAGTGAAAAGTATTACTGTGGGACACTGATATAAAGCTCTTTTGAAGAAGTTATCAAAAAACTTGCAAAAAGAAAACAGATGGAGCAGTTCACAATGCGAACGAATCTGGAAATAAGGAACTATAGAAAACAGAAACGTTTTCAAAATGTGCATTCTGCAACAAAGGTGAGGTTTCTAATGGGTACTGCAAGCCTTTTATTGATGCATGGCAACTGCAGATCAAATGAAAAGAGATGCCTATGAAATGCAGAGCATGTGTGTGAAAAATTGGCCAGCAGAGATTAAGGATCAACCCAGAGGGCTGAACAAAACAATACGGAAGCCATGTGAAGCACACTTTTAAAGGAATGACAAATAAGGCTGAAATTTACAGTATGTAACTGATACTGTAAGCAAAAACAGTACAGCTGTATCAACATTATTTTGAAAATATGTTAAATACACTCTATTGTTTTATGTACAACTGCTTAAGCATGAGGAAGTTGCATGTTGACATCTGTGAACATGGTGAAGGTACATCAGGATTCGCAGCTGGCTGATTAACACTAAATACTAGTAACTGCATCTTAATTAACTATAAGATCAAATTGGATGATACATTTATCTCTCTCTCCTTTTTTTTTTTTAACTCCAAGGCACTCTTTCAGGTAGCAAAAGTCTGTTTGTCATAGCCTAAGATTCTCCTCAACCTCATATCTTGCATTTAGGGTACTTTGCTTTGTGACTGGTTACTGAAAGGTAAACAGAACCTTAATATCCAAATTCAATTGCTGAGGCATGTAACTTTAAAGAACACCAGTCATGGAAGGGAAAACAAGTTAACCTAGTTTGACTCTTATTCATGATTAACGTCTGGAAAACAAGGCAGAAGACAGCAAAATCAATGCTTAAATGAGTGTTGGCTGGGAAAATGACATTGTTCAACAGCCAAATTCCAATCCCTTAAGCAATGCATTTCCTGATTATTGAAGGAGCAAGGAACATGCGGGCCTTCGGGCGTTGATTAACTACAGCTCCCATCACATATCACTAGTAAGCCAGGCTGGCTGTGTCTGATGGGATCTGGGAACCAACTACAGTGGAGTCTCGACCTACAGACTTAATCCGTATTAGAACAGTGTCTGTATGTCAAAAAAAATCCCTTAAGCAATGCATTTCCTGATTATTGAAGGAGCAAGGAACATGCGGGCCTTCGGGCGTTGATTAACTACAGCTCCCATCACATATCACTAGTAAGCCAGGCTGGCTGTGTCTGATGGGATCTGGGAACCAACTACAGTGGAGTCTCGACCTACAGACTTAATCCGTATTAGAACAGTGTCTGTATGTCAAAAAATCCATAGGTCGAAAATGCATTCCCCATAGGAATGCACTGAAAACCCATTAATCCGTTCCAGACCTTTCTCCCCCACCAGGCAGCTTCTCTGCTGCTGAAACCACCATCGGGGCAGCCCTTTGGGAGAAGCTTGGTCGCGGGGAAGAAAGGCAGGAGCCAACCCGGTCTTTCTCCCCCACCGCGAGGCTTCTCCCAAAGCGTTGCGCCCGATGGTGGGGAAGAAAGACCGGATCGAAGCCGCGCGGTGGGGGAGAAAGACCGGACTGGTTCCTGCCTTTCTTCCCCGCCACCCGGCTTCTCCCAAAGGGCTGCCCTGATGGCGATTTCAGCAGCGGAGAAGCTACCCAGTGGGGGAGAAAGGCCAGATCGGCTCCGGACATGTCTGGGTTGCACACCTGTAGTCTGAAACATACATATTTGGAAGCAAGCTGCACAGATCTAAACACACACATCAGCTCAGGTAAATGCACTTATTTTCTCCTTTCTTCCACTAGTATATTCCTTGTTTAATCGAAAATTAATCCTTAGAGAACAAGTATTCATCGATTTATATTCAAAGACTGCTACCTATTATAAACTCAATGTGAGATGCAAACCAAAGTACGTAACATATTTTGCATTTAAAAAATATTCCTTAAGATTCAGGGTTTCCCAATGTCAGGTCACGGATTCTGATCTCCCTAAGGGCCCTACTGAACTATATAGACCTTGGGCAAAATCAGAAGCCTGAGTTTATCACAGCTGGCATTTATCGCAGATAAAGAGTTAATTTCAAAATAAAACCAGACAATTATTTCACATCATCATCACAACTCTCTTGGCGGGAGAGCTGGCTAATAACCAGACAATTATTTCACATCATCATCACACTCTCTTGGTGAGAGAGCTGGCTAACAGTTTGGCAAAGATTATAGTAAACTATTGTTCAAATCTCAATTCTAAAAGCACTTCCAATTTCAAGGCTACTTTTTATTAATTATTTTAACACTCTACACACACACAATTTCACATCTAGACACCACTACCCTCCATGCATCTTGTAAAGTTCTGTTGGCAAATTCAGGAGTTGTAGTCCACAAACACAAATCTGCCTCTGATTTTTATATTTTATTTTCACCTGATACTACACTTCACAGGGTTTCCCTCATACTGTGTTTGTTCATACACACATCAAGGATAATAGCCATGCATTCAATAAAATTGACTTTGGTCTGTAAATGTTTCTTCATCTATGAGGTATCACGACACTTTGTTTCTGCAGCAACAGGTTATCTCAGTTATCAATTTGGAAACATCCATTAATGACACAAATGAAATGCCAAAAATATATCAGACAATATTCTTGAGGGCCTGTGCAAAATATGCTTCTATATATTTATGTTAGTGTAATAAGATTATTCACTTGCATTTGCAACATACCATCCAAAATAGACATATTTTTCATTGGAGAAGATAGAGGCTTGTATGTTCCACTGCTATGCATCTGACCAGTGCTTCCTGTGGAAAAAAATAAAAAGATATTCAGATGTTTCCTGGATAGCTCAGTGATTTAGATATCTGGCTGCAGAGCCAGAGGTTGGGAATTTGATCCTTCACTGTGCCTTGACTTGATAATCCAGAGGGTCCCTTTCAGCTCCGCACTTCTAAGATGATGATGACAACAGTATTTTCCCACTTACCCATCAATTAGAAAACAACTATGGTGGGGTGGCCAACCCACAACCCACTGGCAGCTCCTCTAAGACCTTCCTGTGGCCTTGTCGCAGTATACCCCACCAGAGCTCTGATAAAATTCACTGCCTATTTGTTTGTTTGTTTAATTAGTTTAGTTAGTTGGCATACCACCCATGTAGCAGAGGCCACTCAGGCCTATTCACAATATACAGTGGTGCCCCGCATAGCGAGGTTAATCCGTTCCGGATTAACCCTCGCTATGCGGAATCTCGCTAAGCGAGGCACCACTGTAATCAAACAGTAAGACAATACTATATGCAAAATAAAATCAGTGTATAAACATCATAAAATAAAAACAATGATTAAACGGGGAGATCCCATTTGTTTTTTCCCCAGGTGCTGGCTAAATGCACCAGTGTGGTGGGCTGCCCAATCATGAAAGAGAGAGGTGATCTAAGCTCTGCTCATTGAAAGTTCTGAGGAAAGAGTTGTAGAAATATCCTTAACTCTTTCAACAATCAATTAATAGAAAGTCTACTAGCCTCCTCTTCCTCGTCGCGATGTTCCTCGGGCTGCTGTGGTGTTCTGCCCTCTTCCACCCCTTGCTCGGCCTCTCCCTCTCCCCCTCCTAGGTGCTGAAGAACCATCAGAATCATCATCAGCTCTTTGATTGGAAGCTGCCACATCCATGAGGTCATCATCATCATCACTAAAGGCAGAAGCCTGATCTGTTCCCTGAGGTCTGTGAGCTTTGGCTCTGTTTATAGCCTGGGAGAAACAGAAGACATCAGGATTATTGACTGGAGCAGTCTAATCTGCCTGATGGTATCTAAACAGCTACTGGCTAGAACAAGGGTTCCCATACTGTGCGCTCCATGGGGTGCTGTGAAACCCAACCAGGGGCGTCAGGGGAAAAGGGATGGAACATAGAGCTATGAAGGCTATAGGGGAGCTGTTCGAACATATCTACAGCTCTTCTATAGCTCTCATAGCTCTACGTCAAACAGGTATCAGAGGTAGAAGTCATATGCCTGCCTCGCCTTTCCCCAGTGGAAGTGTTTGCTGGGTGGCTTCATGGGTTTCCTGCATGGAAACATGGAAGGAGGTGGGCCCATGGGGATATCTGGGGAGGAGGGGAGATGGGGTGGCTGGGGAGGGGTATCAAGATCCTGCCCCTGGTGGCAGGGAGATTCCTAAAGACCCCCTCTGAGCAAAGGGAGATGCAGCCAGTGGGGCAGTAAACCAAAGGAGCCCTGAGGCCAAAAGGTTTGGGAACTGCTAGACTAAAGAACAAAAGGTGAAAATTCCAGAAAGACATGTGTTACTGAAGATGCAAGATGTCAGAATATGAAAAGGGAAACAAATTAAAGCAAAATCAAAAACCTATTTCAATATTTGTTTTGGAAACAGCAGCAGCTGATTCAAATGGCTTCCATTTTGAATTTGTTTCTCCTTCTCCCTCATCCCCCCCCAAAATTGCAATGGATCAAGGGAATGTGTTTCCCAGTCCAATTGACCTTAATCCAGTTTTTCTGTTTATAGAAATTACCTCACGAACTTCCTCATCTTCCTCCATAGTATTCTTTTTTCTAGACTCTCTAAAGCGCTGCACCTATATTAAAAAGGCAAAAGGTAAGAATGATAATGATATATGCTTTAAAAAAATTAATTCCTTGGTACAATGTTTTTTTTTCCATGGTAAGAATAATAATGATACATGCTTCTTTAAAAATTAATTACTTGGTACAATTTTTTTTCTGTTTGCTTCTGACTTTTTTCATACCTGCACTACTTTTCCTGCACTTTTCTGTGTTTTATAAGAAGTAGGCCTGGAGGTGAGAACCATAATCTTTTCACTATTTAACATAATACAGTGTGTGTTGTGTACCACCACCTTCTACAATGGAAGACTAGAACACAACTATTTGAATGCTAGTATAACTCAGCATACCAAATTCAATATTTTGGACTATGAACCACCAGGCATCTTCAGTTAATCAAATCAGGCTTAATAGGTCATGATATATACAAGTCTAATCAGCATCTTTGCCCGCCCCCCCCCCCAATTTCTCTAAGCAGAAAAATAACTTTGGAAGACTGGTATCACTGAACCAGGAACTACATATAGTTTTCCAAACAAGTAAAGCTTCAGAAGCCAACTTTAAACCATGGCTTTCTTATCCTGGTTTGCTTAGAAGCCACTAGCCATAATTTCCTTGTTCAGGCATAATGGACAACTACTGTTTATAACTTCTTATGTGTTTAGGATCTACGAACAGATGTATTAAGATCATGTTTATCCCATCTTCTTAAACTGCACCTGTTTATCCAAATCAGGCCAAAGGCATGAAGAAAAGTGCATGTAATTGTTCTAAAAAATTTCTATATTCTCAAGTAACAAACTTCTTGTCTATACTAGTTACAAGAAGATCACTCTACAAACCTCTTCATCGATTTTGGTCTCTTCTGCATCTATATGTTGTTCCTTTAAAAACCGCTGTGTTTTTTCGAGCTGGAATTTCACCAGTTCTTCAATAGCATCTTTCTCCTCCTTATCCACAAACTCTTGCACTGCTTCTCCCATTCCTCTTTCAGTCAGGAGAGAAAGCTGCACTTTCTTAGAGAAACAAATGAAGGAATGTCGTATTAAATATCCTCATATGCATTTTTAAAAAGTGGCCTGGCTAGTAGCAGTATTTGGCAAAAAATAAAATAACATTCACTTTGAGCATAAGCATAAGGATACCTAAAACTTTCAACTCTGGGGGATTTTGATCTATGTGGTTCCCAACTTAGGTAACTCAGGTGTTCTTGGACGGCAATTTGCAGAAACTTTCACAACTAGTTGTGCTGGCTGGGGTTTCTGGGACTTTCAGTCTAAGAATACCTGGGTTACCCAAAGATTCAGAACCACTCTTCTATACAAAAGGAAATGCTAAAACAACAGCAACAATCTGTGTTGCTTGAAATACGACAATGCATAGTTTGTAGTGACTGTAGTTTAGACTCCTAACCATTAATGTGTTCCTTAAAGGTAAAGGTTCCCCTTGACATTTAGTCCAGTCATATCCAACTCTAGGGGGCGGTGCTCATCCCTGTTTGCAAGCCGTAGAGCCAGCATTTGTCCATAGACAGTTTCCGTGGTCACGTGGCCAGCGTGACTAGACACGGAACGCCGTTACCTTCCCATCGAGGTGGTACCTATTTAGACATTTTTACTTGTTTTCGAAATGCTAGGTTGGCAAGAGCTGGGACAAGCGACGGGAGCTCACTCCGTCATGTGGATTCAATCTTACAACTGCAGGTCTTCCGACCTTGCAGCACAGAGGCTTCTGCGGTTTAACACGCAGCACCACCACGTCCCTCGAGAATGTGTTGCTTAGGTACTGCCAAATCATGTCTTGTGCCCTTTTCAGCTTCTCCAAAGAAACTCAAATGCATTCCAAAATGATCTTTGTGCCACCTCGCATGGGTGCTTCAGGAGTAGAAGGACCTGCCTACAGGTGATGTAAAGACCCAAGAGATGCCCAAATGTGTAAATATTCTTCAGAGAGGCTCCTTCGATGTCCCCCATATTGAAGATAACATGAAAACTAGGTTTACCTTCTCTGCTGTCTG